TAGCGAAAATTGATGGGTCCGGATTTCGACGGAAAAGTAGTCGAATCGACAGGGAAGACCCAGGGAACCACAAAACTACTTTTGGTTTCGTCAGAAACCACCCCTGTCCAGAGAAACTTGAGTTTTCAGGGTGGTCTTTTGAATCTGGTGGGCAGCGTACGATGGGCTGCCTACCTCGCAGGCGAACCGGTCCAAAAAGAAAAAAAAAAAGAAAAAAATCACAAAAAAAACGGGCATAACTCACTTGAAATGGCCCGGTGGCGTGAAATTTCGACGGAGAGATTGAAAGAGCATGCTGTTGTTCCAATTCCAAAAATATCCAGCGATTTCCAATTTTTGATTCATTTATGTTACAGGGATATTTCTTTGGACAAGAACCAGCCCAGCATCACTTCCTATTTTACTAAGACTGTACCATATAAACAAAATAAATAGCAGCATTACTGTCAGTGACTACTGATGATTTTCTTCCATAAAACTACCATTGGGTGCGTCAAAAACCACCCCTGTCCACAGAAACTTGGGTTTTAAGAGGTATGGTCTCTCGATGTGCAGATTGCCTACCCTAAGGAGATATCTAAAAACTCTGGGCACCATGTTATTTAGGCAGAGCAAGAGAAAGAAAGGGGAATCTGCCCGACCAACCCGAACTAATTCCATCTATTTTCCAAATTGTCAAGATTTTTAAAAGACATTTATAATATAATAAAATTAATTTAACAAAATATCAAGCCTGGATTTTGATGGCAGGAAGGATTGAAATCGCCAGGGAAGAAAACACGGCACCATAAAAACTATCAAAAACTGGCCTTAGATGCACACCAAAGGAAGCTCATAGAGTCTGCAGAAAGACAAATTGGAACATCATTGGTTACTTGTCAGGCCAACTCACCTATTCTTGCAGCTAAATAAATGACTCCGTGGACTTCTTTGCTCATGTCAAGAACATTTCCGGCCCGTGTCCCTGCAATCATAGTAAATAAGGTACTTTCAGCGCCACTTTTTATTGAATGCTTGCTTTCATTTCATACTCAACAATCATCAACTATTAATTACGTATAATTTACTCATACAACACACTTTTAAATGCCTCTCGCCCCATACTCTAAATGACCATGGTCTTTCAAATAACTTATTTGGCACTGGGCAAGCATTGAGTGAACGTAACATATCCCTCTGCACATCTCCCACATACCTTTTCCACAATTATTAGGACAGTAGTAGACAGCTGCAAATAAGCTGCAACGCACATTGATTGTTTAAGGGATTACACAAATAGAGGGAATTGATGAGTGTACCCATTCAACACCTTTTCAATTGGTGCTAATATCCACTTTGTTTCAACAAAGCTTACAGTGAGCCAAATTTACATAACAGGCATCATTTACTCTGCTCAAAAAAACAACATACAACTTGTGTGTTTAAAAATGAGCCACTGGAGCACACTAAACCTCCTATAATATCCTACAATAAACGGAGCAGAACTATTCAATATTCCGGACCGGAAACAATCAAGCACTACTATACCTTGTCATCGATATGAATATCGAAAAGCGGCGCTGTCCACCCTACAATTCTGATTTTTAAAGTCCTATGATAATAAATTAAATGGGTAGGTAAAATCTGTATTGAGCAGAAGACGCCAATTATTTTCACTGTTTGTTTACGTTTCCATCTAGTTTCCGTAAAGGCGCGGGGAATGCGGGGTAGGGGTGGGGAGGAGGAGGGGGGCAGTCAAGTAACATTTAATCTGGACGGTTCGGATTAAGACAAGACTGCACAGAGGACATCGCTATTACAATAAGCGTCCGTAAGACTAGTAACTGTTTTTGGTGAAATTCTGTCGTCGGGGACGTATGTCGCTAGCGGGAACGAGATGGGCCCCAATAAGTAGGAAGGATCGGGATTGTTGTTAGGAAAGGAAGGCATTGTGCGTCGGATTTTAGTTTTCTCTCTTATTCTATTGAGACAAAGATTTATCAGATTACGCTGTCGTTGAGTCGGGGCATACTCGACTCAATGAGGAAATAACTTTAAGAAAAACAAATAAACCACATTAGTTTTAAAGATAAATTTTATTTTTTGATTGCAATCAAGTCCTGTAAAAAGGGAAGGCCCCTTGTACCAGTATATACAAAACACCTTTAATCTTTCTATTACTTGTCATGAAAAATTACGAGCTTCTTAAAAATAGTTCTAAAATATAAAAAAATATTTACAAAAATAAGTTAAAACAAAATTGTACATCTCTACTTTGCCATTGCTTTCTGAGAAACGATCCAGCTGTGGATCTTAACATCTTCTAGTGGAAGCCTATCAAATGGATTCTTTCTTAAGAGCTGTAAGTCAGAAAGAAGACAATAATTTGGATTAGGTAGTAAGAAACCTATGGAGAATATCCCACACACAAGTTATTAAATTCTACAACTACAGTACCATAACAGATTGTGCTTACCTTTGAAATGAGGTCTCTTGCCAGTGGCCTAACATGGTCAGGATATTTAACATCAACTGCTTGGATGCGTCTGTATGTGTCATCTTGCTGAGAACTTTCAAATGGTGGACGTCCAACTAAAAACTCATAACATAAAACTCCCAGACACCAAAAATCAACTCGCTCATCATACTCTCGCCCAAGAACCATTTCTGGAGGTAGATAATCAAGTGTTCCACACATAGTTTTACGTCTGGAAGGAAAAGTGCATTTACATTAAAAATATAACTATGATCATAAACAGATGATAAGAATACCTTTGAATGAAAATTGACTCTTACTTGGATGACGGAGCATGAACTGACCAACCAAAATCAGCTAATTTGATATTTCCACGGGCATCAAGAAGAAGATTTTCAGGCTTTATATCCCTGTGAATCACCTTGTACAAGTGGCAATGACGCAAAGCATCAGCAACTTGATAAACATATTTTGCTGCCCTGAAATAGAGTTTGGGTATGTTAAATGGAGAACCACAACTAGCTCTGAGAAGTTAAAGAATAAGTTCAAACATACTCTGGTTCAGCAAATCGGCCATGTGGCTGCTGTTGCAGGTGTTTATACAACTCTCCTCTGGCAGCAAATTCAAGAACCAAATAAATGCGACTTGAATCATAAAAGTAGGTAAGGAGTGACAGAATGTTGGGATGCCTAAAAAAATTAGAAATAAATTAAAATCAAAATTTTAATTGTAAACAGCACTTTTTCAGTGGCTTACCTGAGATGGGTTTGGATCTCAATTTCTCTGAGTACTTGCTTTTCTAGGCGGGACTTCACCAATTCAGACTTATACAATAGTTTAAGAGCAACCATATACTTGGTACTTTTTTCGCGTGCAAGGTATACTCTGCCAAATTTTCCACGCCCCAACGGGCAGCCTATATCGAAGTCCCTAATGGTCCAGTTGTATCTAAAACAAACCCAAAGGTTTAGTGAGACACCAAATTAAAAAGCAGAAACCGTAAATATAATCCAGGGAATACACACGTTTGACCATTTCGGGCAATAACGTGCTCCTTCATTAAATTTAACGTTTTCTGAACATTAGTCCTCTTCTCTGGAGGGCAAGTTGAAGGCACTGAGAATACTTCATCCAAATTTTCAGGCGTCATTGTCACCTGAAACAGGTTGAATAGCTTTAAATTAATACTCCAAATCACCGTAGGCAGGTTAAAAGATTGCAGTGTTCAATTGTTAAAATCGCTCACAGTAAAAACATATAAACACAATACACAAGCACATAACCTGCCAGTCACAAAGCAAAACAAACTACTGTGACGACAAAATGTACTTTTCTGAAAAACAATGCAGAAATGTGAAATCGCAATGCGGCCACAAGGATTGTAGAAGTAGAAAAGCGACACTTTTAATGAAAATGGGATAAAATTCTTACCTGAAAGAGTAACAGTGGCGGGAGCGGGATAACGACTCTGTTTTGAAATTTGAATGGCCGACGAGCAACAGTTGAGCGGATCGCAGGTTTACCAAGACAACTACTACTGTCAACGAAATCAAACATTAAGTTGTTCTAGCCAATCCAACTAAAATCTACCTTTAGATTAAATAATCGTTTATTTAAAAATTTACACTCAATAGTTATTTGCAACGCAACTGAAACTATAGGTGATACACTACGTCGGCCGAGGGCGGGAGATTTTTTTTTAACTGGGGTTGGTAGGTCAGTGTAGCTTATGCGCGCGGTAAGTTAAACGTTCAATCAACCTTTTTGTTCGAGTCGAGACACAGGAATTACCGGGCCGGGCCTATCCCGCACCAACTACGGTGTACGACCAAATAATTCTATACATGGTCCCACTTTTACCAACTCACTCAAGGAAGAGTGAAGGGTGTAAGAGTAATTTCAAGTCTTTCTCCCTCACCCTTCCCCATCTATCTCAATTTCACGTAGTAGTGCATTGAATTTTTGAAAAGAAAAAAAAACAAAAACAAAAAACAAACATGTTGATTCAGAAAGTGGTTTAAACTGAACATGAGATCTTCTTGGGTGCCAGACCATGGTAATGCAATTTTATAGAACTTCTCCAAATTTAATTTATTAGTTTTAGAGCACAGCTCCATTTTCTTTGTCTACAATAAAAATCGACAATGATAAATTCATGAAAGAACAACAGTGCGGGAATAGCATTCATGTTACACCTTCATGTTACAAACTCTGGTAAAATTAATGCTGTGCATCAAATACAATCAGATGATACTCCACAGTAGGGCTGAATGATTTGAGAGTTAATTTTTGCTTGAGTACAATGGGATGGAAATAGATGGTATTACCTACATTAACACTGGCAAGATGACAGAAAAAGCAAGTAGTAATAATTGTGAAAGGTAAAAAATAGTTCCTTATAAATGTAGCTACTTTTCAAGACAATACAATGAATCCCCACAAAAGATGGTGTTACATAAATTGTGTTTTACAAAGAGAATGTTAACAATGAACAAAATGGACCGAAGAGATTGGGCAGTACATCAGTCTGTACAAATAACTGGTGTGAGACAAGTGCTAAGAGTTGTACTCAATAATCCCTGCACTTTCAAGGTAACATTAAATCAACCGTCGACTTCCATTGCTTCTTCCTGCATTTTTTCTGACTTCTTCTTGTTCTTCTTCTTTGTGTTCTTAGGATTTGCAGAAGAGGCCAAAAGTTGCTGAAAAAAAATCAAAGAATGGATAAAAAACATATCGGGATTAAACAGTAAAAACATTACAAGCAAGACTAAACTAACCTTTAATTCAGGATCAGTCACACCATTTTCAGAAGAATAAAGATCTTGTTCAAAGGGTAATCCAGTGATTCGTAATGTGCCAGTTGGCATCAACAGAACTGTGAACTTAAACTGAGCCACATGTTCACCTAATTGAAGAAGAAACAGAGATAAGAGGGTTAAACAAAATTTGTTGGTTTACAATATGAATTAGAATTGATCTTAAAGCAGGATTAAGTTACCTGGTTTGTCATAGAGAACCTGGAATGGTTCGATTAATTTGTGGTTTACACACTCTAAAGCTCCCAATTTGGCTTTGGTTTCATCCTCAAAAGTGCGAAGATTGAATGGCATGGTTCCATGCTTGTGTACCACTTCACTATAGAATGTGCGAGATGCCTTCATCTTCAGTTGATAGGTCTCATCTGTTTTCTTGTAGATGGTTACTCTTGAATTGGCCTCTTTACCCTAGATAAAACCACTTAATTAAACCGTTGAAAAGTTAAGAAAAAGGGTGTCAAAATTAAAGATAACATACCACTCCTTCTCCTGTGCTAACAAGTACATCCATGGCATAAACTTCATGGACTTCAAGAGTGAATTTTTCATGTTCCTTCTTCTGGGCCTCATTGGGGTTCTGGATAACAGTCTTCTCTCCATCAATCCTATATTGCTTAAGTTGGTGGCTGAGCATTCCCTCAACTGGTTTACATTTGTAATCTTCACAAATTTTTTGCACAGCATTGGTAATGGAGTAAGTCTTAACAGGAGGGAAGCATTGAAAAAAGCATTGAATTAAGAGGAGATCAATCGGATTTAAAATCATCAAGAAATGATTCTGTAAAACACATTTCAAAGTTAATTAAAATATAAGGACATACCTCATTACCGGGCTTCAGAAGACGCAATGCTGCCTGAGATGCTTGGTGAGCAGCTAGAATCACATCAGCTTGTCGGCCTGAAACCTTGTTGCCTGGTAGAAGTCCCACAGTAGCAGTGTGTGCAACTACAGCAATGAAGCCATCAACATGAGCACCAAGATCACTGGGGGAAAAATGTAAACACAGTTGTTTTTACTTTTATGATTGTTAGCACCTTTGACTGAAAATCTTCAAGTTGAGATATGTGCTGTGACTATTCCCTTAATTATTTTGTTCCTTAGTAAATACACTCAAATAAATAGCACAAAATATGGGTATACTTACACTTTAACTAAGTCTCCATTTTTAAGCAATACGTCAGGATCTCTTGAAGTTGGTGAAAAGTGGCAAATACAGTTATTAATGGAAATTGACGTGGGGAATGCTACACCCTTCTTCATTTCCTTCTCCTTCTTAAAAACTTTACTGGTCTCCTCAGCCATAAACTGATCCCCAAATTCACAAACTTCCCGGACATTAGCTCCATCCACACACTTATCTAAAACAAGCTTCAAAGCTCCTGAAACAAAAATAAATAGATGTCTTTGATTCATGAGGAAAGAATATAGAATTTTTCAGTCTTTGAAATATAAAATAGTGACATCAACTTTCCCAGTAATTAATGTCATAATAAAAATACAACTCCTGCCAGAAAAGTGTGGGAATGACATTTTACTAGCTGATTTGGGAAAGGGCGACCATTCCTCAAGTTTATGAGCGATGTGTTGCAATAATATAATGTTGACAAAGTATATGTATAACAACTAACCAATCATCAGCTGTTAAGAGCAGCAAGTTTGAAACCAGACAAAGGCTGCTGTGTAATCACCAGGGAATTTGTTAAGAAACAGAATTTTGAGGGGTAAATGGTACTCATCCAGGACAACTTTGCAACAATGCAATGAATGGGATCACTAATTGATTTTCATAAAAGTAGACTTGATTGGCATGGTAATTAATATGTGTCAACTGTTACTTTGTACAGGATAGCGGCCATTGAGAGCTCTATTACACCCTACAACTTGTTTCACAGCCTCGACTTACGAGGCCACGACTTGTCTAGGTTAAAGTGCCAGGCAACACGTAAACATGAGATGTTTGTGAGGCCAATACCGGCTGGGGAGAAAGTGACGCATTTTATAGGGAGGGAAACCCTTTCATATTCGTCTTCCCGTGCGACTTGTAGCAAGGTATGTCCTGACTCCTGCCTGCTCCTTTTGTCCACATGGCAAAGGCGCAACGGCGCCAACGACGCCTTGCCGGCCCGAGGTACCCGGCCATATGGGCTCCGACCCAACACCTTGCTCAAATCTCTCAAACTTACGGTTTACGATGTCACCAGCCATTTTATACTTGGTGACAACCAAGTCCTCGGCGATGGTCTTTTCGGTTTCATCTTTTTCAGCCATGTTTGGAGTCTTGAGATGTAAAGAATTGGAGAGAAGCAAGTGTACGGAGCAGCCTGCTGGCACAGCAGCAGCAGTAGTTGCGGTTGCGGTGGTAGCAGCAACTTCCTCCAAACTCCAAACAAGAAGTCAACAGGGTTGCCACATTCTTCTAATGTCACCTGCCAGACAGAACCTCTTTGCAACGCAACATTAGAGCTAACTGGCTTACTGGTTAAAGCAGGGGGTGTAATATTTCTCTCTGACTCTTGCTCCAGTCGTCAAATTTCACTATAAACAAAATATTTAAGAAATAACATTTCTAAATAATCTCCTTTGAATAAGGACGAAAGCGACTATTTCCACCACAAAGATAACGGCGCGCAAGGGGAAACATAACCTTGGTAAATGTGTGTTGTTTTTATTGAAAAACACTTGACATAATTTGCTCGACCATGAAACTGGTTTTCCTTGGAACTGCCTCCTGCTATCCTACTGCACATAGAGCTGTCTCTTGCACAGCATTAAAATTTGAAGGTAATTTGTTTTCTCACAGATGTCAAACGCATGTTGTGTTACATCAGAAGAGAACTCAATAATGGTTTGACTTTCTTTATTTCCCTTGACAGATGGATTGGTGTGGTTGTTTGACTGTGGAGAGGGTTCTCAGATTCAAGTTCAAAAGAGCTCAATAAGACCTAGCCGCATCTCCAAAATTTTTATTACTCATTTACATGGTGATCATGTAAGTAGAACTATATTTTTAAATCAACCAGTCTACCTCTAGTAGTAGGTACATTATCCCATGTAATATTTCTCACTATTTATTGTTGGACACGCTCAGCTTTTTGGCCTATCTGGGCTTATATGTACACTAGGCAATCAGGTAATGGACCGTAAAGACTTCATTCTTGAAATATTTGGACCTAAAGGTCTGAGAAGATATGTGAGGGAAGTCCTGTGCCTGTCAAGATCACCACTCCCATTCCCCTTTAGAGTAAGTGCTCAGTTTAAAAATTCTAACAAACTTTTTTATCAGTTATTTTAAAGTTTCAAATTATCCATAGGTCCATGAGTTGATTCCAATGGATGACCAATTGCCCAGAAACTGGGCATCATGGGGTGTGAATCAGGAAGCTACAGGGCCCCCCCACCCTCAAGAGCTTTCTGGAAGAGATATCCAGGCTGAAAATGGTATCTGGAATCTGTAAGTATGTCCATCCATACAAAAATATACTGAGAATTTTTCCTCTACTTGATTAATATTAAACTATGTAATTAATTAATGTCTACGTAATTTCTGTTTCAGACTTGAGGATGATCAAGTGACCGTTCAGGCTGGAAGAGTTAAACATAGAGTCCCAACATTTGGATTTGTTATAACTGAATGTACAAAGCCTGGAAAATTGAATGTTGACAAATTGAAAGAGATGGGTTTGAAGCCAGGACCCATTTGTGCCACAATAAAGAAAGGAGAGACAGTCACACTACCATCAGGCCAAGTTGTATCCTTCTTACTCAATTACCAACAAAACAAATGTTCTGTATCTTTTTAGTGGGTAATCCTTAACATACCATCAGATTCGCCCTTCTGACGTTATTGGACCGCCAATTCTCGGTCGAAAAATTTCTATATTGGGGGACACTTACAACTCAGACCAAATGTTGGATCTGGTTAGGTAGTAACCTTTATTTTCCAAAACTAATAATTAACCAAAATATTTTAACTTACGGAAAAATAGTAAAATTTGCCTTGTCATTTTCCAGAAACAGCGATGTCCTTGTTCATGAAGCTACTCTCGAAGATGCCATGAAAGAAAAGGCTATTGAAAATGGACACTCAACACCAGGTATGGCAGCGGATTATGCATTGAGAGCAGAAGTTCGAAAACTAGTTCTATATCACTTCAGTCAACGCTATAAATCTGAGCCCTCTGAAGAAGAGAAGCTGCAGCAAGAAGCTGGAGACACAGATCCAAAAAAAATTGAAGATGATGGGACTGATGATGGCACAGAAGAAGATAAAAATGTAAGTCTGAGTAGAGCAATTAAGACCTCTTTAAGAGTTGGAATTCAAATGTTCAATCTAACAATACTGTTGGCTGTTTTTTTTTCTTTCTTCAGGTGTCATATGTCTCTATATTACTGGCAGAGGCCAGTGCTGCCTTAGAATGTAGCGATTGTTTAGTCACAATAGCTGAGGACCTGATGGAGCTTGATGTACCAAGAATTCGCTTGTAGACGTTTCAATTGCCCTGAAGGTAACTTATTTTGTTTCAAATATATTTTTCAATTACGAAGTCAGAAAAAAAATTTCCTCTACCAATATTTTACAATAATAATTATATGCATTACAAGTTCATGATCATAAGATCTGATTGGGTAAATGCAGACTTGCATCGTACTTATGAACTGAACATCAACTTCAACAAAAAGTTTTCATACATACTCAATCATAACTCAATAAAAATAAGTTTAAAATATGTTTGCATGACCAGCATGTTTTCTCCCTGCTTCTCTCTTAAAACTAGAAAGAAAGACAGTGTTTTAAAAGTGGACTATCAGTAATTGGTAGCAAAACAGAAAAAAATATTTGTTGGCCAACAGAGGCACTAAAGCAATAGTACATTCTAAAAGTCAGATTAAAATATCAGTCATCAGTAAGTGATGTTAGACAGCTGCACACTTGAAATGGAATGGTTGTAGAAACTTCTGATCTACACATATTCATATTTCTTCAACATTATGATAAAATGTAAACTTTTCATTACAGTAACTACTACCCTGTTCACTTCTTTCACCCAACTGACCATTTCTTACTCCTAACGTACCCCCTTGGGTTCCTCTGGATCAATTGCTGGGGGATCCTTTACTGACGTTCTTGAAATATCTGGAGAGTATGAAAATAGCACTAAGGCTACCCACAAATGCAGCAAAACCTAGAGAGAAGAAAAATTTATAGTGGTTCATATAAAGGCATCAGCTGAGCCATTAATAATTAGCTTAAACTTACCATGTAGATGATAACAAAAATTCTGGCCAGAGGGTACCTCCGCAAAAACGCTCCAACTCTTATTCCGAGTGTATCCAGACTCGAATATGCTCTTTTAACTTTCCTTGCCACAACAGTGTCACTTGGGTTCTCTGATAGTAATGTTGGAACTCTTTGCCTTGTAACTGAAATGTAAAAGAATAAGGTAAATGCCCTAGTAGGTGGATCAAAGATTTGAAAAGAATTTTAAGTAGTGAACAAGAAACTTTAAATCGTACTATTTTCAGTTAGGTTGAGCACTGTTCCTCCATTTGATGCAGTTGGTGCAGATAAATGCTGATGTTTTTGCTAAGAAAATAAAAACAGTGAATAGAGTGCTGCTATAAAAATGAAGGTAAATTGGTATGTAGCTCTTCTTCACTGTTTACATACCTCAACTCTTTCCAAATTTAATCTCAAAGAGTTTCGTTCAGCAATCATCGCCTCTAAGGCACTTTGTTTCTGCATAAGACATGTGGCAAGGCTGCGAACTCTTGCCTCCAGCTCTCCTGTCTCCTTGCTTGTTTGCGATGTATCATTAGAAGTATGAACTTGTTGCTTGAGTCTGGATACTTCAGCTTCCTTGGTCTGTAGGCAATCTCTCAAGAAATCACATTGCTGATTTAATTCTGCTTTAGTTGACTGCAACTCCTGGGAAAAATATATATATATCTTTTATAGATATTATATTACACAGAACAGAAATTCTCTCACTCTCGCACTTTCTTTCATACCTCTAAATGAACTCTGCAGTCCTCTTCGGCATGTAATCTTCGTGTTCGCTCCTCTTGCAGTCTCTTTTGAAGTCTGTCTATTTCTGTTTCGGCTTTTTGTCTGTTTTCTTCTTGTTGAATCTCACATAGTTGCAGGTCATTTCTGACGGATTGAAGGAGTTTTGACTGGGAAGCTGAATCTTGACGGAGTAATTGCAGTTCTTCCCTGTGATGATGTTGACATAGTTGAGACAAAAGTGCATACTGTCTAGGTATTTAAAATTCAGAAAGATGTGTACTTACCTTAATTGTTCAATTTCTTGATCAAACATGGACTCTCTAGTGCTGAATTCTTCATTTTGTTTAGGAGCTTGTAGACTAGCAATAAGTTTTTCTTTTTCTTGCAATACTCGGGTAGCTCTGGCACGGTACTGTTCTGCTTCACCTGTTATATCTGCTATATGTACCCTATACCTGTCATTCTGCTGCAGTGCATCAGCTATACTTGCTTGCAATCTTGAAATTTGAAGATGTAAATCATTGGACTCTTGAACAAGGCTCTCATGTTCTGCTTCTAAATGCTTCACTCTTTCTGAAGATGCTGCAAAATCTTTAGCCAGTGTTGAATCCGAAGTAGAGGAAGAAGTTGATTCGTCTTTCAGCCTATTTAAAAAAATTGGATTTAAATTTTAGTGTTTTAGGGGTTAAAATCTCAATTAATATTGTTGCTCACTGCACATAAGCACAAACCTTTTGTTTTCTGCAGTTAATGACAAGATTATATCTTCATTTTCTTTCAACTGACTTTGTAACATGTGAAGCTGCTTTACTAGCTGTTCATTTAGAGACGATGTTTCCTTCAAAGTACGTAACTCTTGTCCAGCAACAATCACCTCTATCACATAAATCATGAGTAATGTAAAAAACAGATAAGAAAAACTCCAAAAACATGAAGAAAGTACAGGGATTGAAGTAGTTACAGGAGTAGATGATGTTCTTACCTTTCTCTGCAGCTTTTGAACGATGGAGCAATAGTGACAACTCATTGTTTAAACATCGAACTTCATTTTTAAGCAAATTATTTTCAGCAAGAACATCATTAAGTGAGGACCGGTTCATTTCATCATCATGGTCATAGTTTTCAATGTTCTCCACAGGCTTGAAACCCCTCTGATATAGATTTTCATCACGTCCTGAACTGATAATTGATGATGACATTGAAGACATACCTCCCTGACTATGATTTCGACTGTGGGTTCCACTGGGAAGGTTTATGGGAGAAGAACTACCAGCAGAGGGGACAGAGGCTCCTGAGGGGCTGCCTCT